ACAAAAAGGACCAGCCGGTCCGTGGTTTAATTCACAGTCGATGGTGGAAATGAGCCTGTGACACGCACTGGAAGCAGCTGCTTTATTCCCAGTCTTCCCACTCTTCATCTTCCAGCTGCAAACAAGAGAACATCCCTCAGTGTTTGTAACCCAAAAGCCACCTGCCAACAGCTCCTCCTGCCCAGGGCACCTGAGTCAGCACAAAGCCTGGCATATCCTCACGCTCCCACACCCTTCCAAGAGGGATTCTCTTGCTCTGCTCCCCTTAGGGAACATGCACATTCATCCCTCTTTAAACATGCCCAGGCAACCACTCTGCTTCAGCTAACACCCATGTCTCCCACAGCAGCATCCCAAGCTAAGCCTGTGTCCTCCAGGAGCACCTCAAGCCTTCTAGAAGGCTCCTGTGAGCTGCTCTATGCAGGCAGCAGCTCGCAGGCAGAGCAGCAGCAGCCAGGTCTCTCTGGACGCAACCCTGTTTGAGTGAGCACCTCCCTGGACTCACCTCCCCAGCCATTTCCACCTTCGAGAGTGCCAGCTGCACCTCTTCTTCAGTCATGTCCAAATCAAAGTCCTTTTCCCAGTCCTCGCTGATGTCAGTGCTGGAGCCTGGAACCACAACATCACGATGGAGCTGTTAGAGCTGCACGTGCTCTCCAGACACTCTGGCCAAAGCACACAGCTGCCCACGCTTTTTTTTTCAGGTCTCCTGCAGCCTGGGAGGACAGAAAGCCCAGCAGCAGGCTGTCAGCTCACTGACAGACATGGGGTGACTGAGCTGTACTTGCCTCACAGCAAAGGGCTGGTCCAGAACAACTGGGAGAGGGGAACAGTGAAACGTGTTCACTGGGAGAACTGGGACGTGTCACGTTTCAGTCACACACAAAATACATCAGATAAGGAGTGACCAGGAGTGACATAGATATGGGGACTGTCATAGTCCCCAGTAGAAAGAACAACCTCCTGAAGCAGAGGAGCTGCAGGAACACTCCTCAGGGTGACACACAGAGGGAAGGAACCACCACACTCCCTTCCCAGACCCCAGCCCCAGCACACAGGGATCAAAGCCCTGCTCTGTCCAGCCAGCAGACGTTGGATTTCTTGTCTGACTTCCTTCTGCTCACAGACCCAGCTCATAAACCTGGCCACTGTGCTGCATCTTGGGCTGCTTTGTTGTCCTACAACCCACATAACCATTGTTCTGGGAGCCCTGCAGCAGCCCCTGCAAGGAAAGGGCTGTGAATGGTGTCAGCCAGAGGCTGGGGGGGCGCCCCCCCCCCCAGGGGGGGGGCAGCGCC